CCTACAAATACGGACAATGTTCTTTCAGAATGTGGAAAAATTTTGAGCTAGGTAAGTTCTTCTCAAATTTCTGTACTTCCCTTCTTTAAGGATTTGATAAACTGCTTACTAGAACTATGTCGAAATACAATAGTGCTTCAAGATTGTTGAAGCAAGCTCCAACAGCGACGTCGGAAAGAGGTTTCAAGAGACAATCTGGGTCGTCTCAAGGAACTTAGCCAGGGATGGCTTCCTGGAGGTGTCACAGAACTGACTACATGAGGAAATGACGACAATCTTAGGTGCCCGATTCATTTCTCAACCTCGCGAGCTTTCGTCAACGTGAAAGTGACGTGAAAATGGATCGAACGTGTTGTTAATATGCATCCCCAATTTGAGTTTGTTGTGGGCCCCAGCATGTGGTCTTGAACCACGCCGGGACCACGGAATTAACCCTGGTCCGATTAAACGTTTGCCTGATGCCCACGATGAAGAAAAAGACCGGAGAGGACGAGGACACAACCGTTTACTTCAGAGTTCAACCACGTTGGTGGGGTTGAGTCGTGTGTGGGGTTTGGGCGTGTGTATTTATACCTCGGATGTGTGAGTCATACATGCGTTAACATCGAGACCTAGGTGTGGGGATACGCCAAGGTAGATATTCGTGCAAATGAGGGGGGAGTTGAGGATTCGCGCGGCTGGCGACATGCTGCGAAAAGGGGAACCCTGTGTAGGAGGTGGAGCCACCGGATTAGGGGGTGTAAATAAACACGATTCACGACAAGTTCTTTCCAACGTTTGAAGAGACCTTCTTTAAAAATGCTGCAGCAAGTGTTACAGAGCTTTCGACTACGGATTTGATGCAAGCTGAATCCAATGTTGGCATAGCAAGGTTAGTCACATTCCCAATTAAACCACACAAAGTTTGACTTCAATTTCACCAGGAAAAAATGGTCCATTCTAAAAGGCCCTCAATACAAATTTGTTCAGGCTATTGTGTCCTTTCTCGCTGATGCTGATGATGTTGGAAAAAAACGACAAGAAAAAAAAACAATGCCAAAGTTACTTCGTTTTGAGTAAGACGTTTACCACCTTGTCAGCTATTTCCTGTTTTGCCTATGTAACGCGCCAGGAAGTAAAACGTCGAATCGAAAACAGATCTGTTCTGAAGCTGGAGTATTCAGGAATTTCATTGGGTCAGTACAAGGTCTGGCGATCTAGCCAATAAGATTATGCCGATAATTTGCACAGTGCTTTTACCCTCAGAAAGATGATTTGCGATTAACACCAAGAAACATGCGGGTTGGGTGTTTTGTACGATTGCAAAATTGCTTGCTCAGCGCAGATCATGTCAGCGATCTGCCTTGAGATGGATAGCAACGATTTACGCTGAGGAAAATCAACTTGTAAGTATGCACAAGGTCGTGGTGGCTGGCCAATCACCGATTATCGCTCGGTGGGGGGGGCGGTAGTGACTGATGGTACACGAGGTTCAGATAAGAGGTACAAGGTCGACTAGTTGAGCAGGTGTGAGTAAGGTGGTAAAGTGCAAGGAGAGATCGATGAAAGCGTTCGACTGCCTTCGTTTTCGATCAGGGTACCTGAAGAGTCGGCGTAGTGACCGATTGCGAGATCCGAGGTCGGCTTCAGGCTAGAGACTGTGACGGGATTTGCCCACTGCGCTGCCGATTAGAGCAAACTTAAGTCGATTCGCGGAATACCAAATGTGTCCAGTGGCGGAGTTAGCAGTTATTGAGGTCCTGATGCGAGATTCAAACCTACATCGGGGCGATCAATTTTGTGGAGGTCTTGAAACGACAAGGATGTAAAAAGTGGGGTCGATTGGTGCATGCTAACGCCACCTCGTTGACGCCGGGGCTTCTGGTTCCCAGTTCAGGAGGTCGTCAGAGCATTTGCCATAATTTGAACCATGTTAAGTATGCTGCCTTTGGAACCCAATCTCTGTACAATATACGTCGAAGTTAATGCAAGAACACTGCTAGAGTCAAACGCTAGAAGCAAATGAACATGACAGCAGAATGAGTGCACTTGACTACTCTGCGCTAATGCTTTTCGCCATTAAGCAAAGGCGTGCATCTGATACATTTTAGATGGTGTCTACATAAAAAACCTGCTGTTAATAGTGATTATTCACGCTCCCTAATTCGGTTGCTCCATTAGGCGACACAAGGCTCCCTCTTTTCGCAGCTGTCGCCAGCCCCGCGGATCCTCAACTCTCCCTCACTCACACCTAGGTCTCGATGTTAGCGCATCTACGACTCACGCATCCGAGGTATAAATACACACGCGCAAACACCACACACGACACAACGACACCAACGTGGTTGAGGTCTGAAGTACATGGTTGTGTCCACGTCCTCTTCGGTCTTCTTCATCGTGGGTATCAGGGAAGGGTAATCGGGCCAGGGTTAATTCAGTGGCCCCGGCGTGGTTCAAGACCACAGCCTGGGGCCCACTACAAACCACATTCATGAACCACTGGACCCCTTTTGCAGAAATTTATTTTTTATGCGGTAAATTTAACAAATTAGACAAATTACTTTAGGTCACTGTTGATGTCCAAATTGTGCAATCTCACACATCGGATTAATTGGTTTCACTGACTTACTCACGTAAATGGTAATTGGGACAAGACGGCACTTCAAGCAAACGGATCCTGGAAGGTATTGAGATCACTCCACTTGGTTTTAATCAAGACTCTGAATTAGCTCCGCGTTTAGCAAGCTGTCACAGGCACAAAAGTGAAAAAAAAACATTTATCTGGAGGGCCAACGTTTGTTGAGAGGAATTCAACAGCAGTAGGGAAACATTGAAGTAACTCAAGTCCATCATAGCTGACTCAGACACCCCGCCCCACCCCGTGAGGCTGCCTCCTCTGGCGCTCATACCACGTATGCGGCGAGCAGCAATCCTGCACAGTTAGCAGTCGCGAGCGAACACAAATCAATCGATTTTTTTTTCGTGAATGCACTCTGGTGGACAGACAGCCACCGCGCGCGTGAGTGCTGCATGTATCCTGACCCGACCGCATCAATGACTCACCCTTTTAGTTATTGGCTCTTGTTAACAGTCACCTATAGTCAAATTTCTCCTTTTGCATTCGCCAAACACACAGCGCCGAGCCAACAAATGGAATGATTGGTCGCCTTAATTTTCCCGGGTATCTGCATAGTTTAAACGAACCAATGGAAACCAACTTTCTCCTGCCGAGTTTCTAAGGTCATTGTCTCTGAACCAGCAAATCATGGAGATTATAAATCAAAATGGATTGGCAGCCATGAATCCCATTTCTCCATATCCTGCTAACTAACCAGAATTCCAGCACAGCGATAGATACAGTCTACTCTGGTTGTCCGTATATTCCACCTAACATTACATTTTTCTATTAACTTACAGATTCAATTTTTTTTAAATGATTCGAATTCTTACTTGACTATAGAACAGTCAATTTGGCTGCAAGCCCGCTCACCACCAGTAGTGATTGGTTGGGCGCCAAATTGACTAGGGTGTGTCAATATGGAAGTACGGTACAATCAAAATTGATCTTGTGGATTACATGGCATGATTTCTCGGGTACCCTTCGAACCTCAGTATAGAATAAAACCATGGTCTACGGGACTGTTTTGGGCCCCAGCATGTGGTCTTGAACCACGCCGGGGCCACGGAATTAACCCTGGCCCGATTACGTTTTTCCCTGATGCCCGCGATGAAGAAAAAGATCGGAGAGGACGTGGACACAACCGTTTACTTCAGTGCTCAACCACGTTGGTGTCGTTGTGTCGTGTGTGTGTGTGTGTGTGGGGTTTGCGCGTGTGTATTTATACCTCGGATGTGTGGGTCATAAGTGCGCTAACATCGAGACCTAGATGTGGGGATACTCAAAGATTAATATTCATGCTAAAGAAGGGGGAGTTGAGGATTCGAGCGGCTGGCGACATGCTGCAAAAAGGGGGAACCCTGTGTCGGAGGTGGAGCGACCGGATTAGGGGGTTGAATAAACACGATTCACGAGAGGACAAAAGCATGCCACCGAAGCAAGTGATTTAACTCTACACGCCAGCAATCGGTTGGAGATGGAGAGTTTTGGGCTGGGGCATGTGTTACCTCTTTATCATCTTATGCAAAAGTCCCCGCTAGAAGGTACTATTTGGTGACATTTTAGTATTTAGTGTGTGTGTGCCGGTTCAACTGCCAACATTAACTCAAATTTCTGTTGAACAATTTGTTTCGCATTAGGAATTCCCAAAAGCGAATCGAAACCGAGTCCAGGCCTCATTTAAACAAAAAAAAATTTGAAGAGGAATTGACAGACTGTCAAATCGATACATTTGGTCTCAACAAAGACATCAAATTCGAGAATTGGGAGGCAGTAAATTGACAAATAACTTTCATCTATCCTGGGGGTGCGTATTGGAAAACGTTACAAGGAAATCGAGTTACGTTCTTGTGCAAAAAGGCATGACGAATCCAAAAACCAGGATCCTCATCCGTCCCTCTTTTTCATTTTTTTTTCACTTAAATTTTTTTATTTTCCTGTTAAACGATTTATCCAGTGACAAGATTTGGGCTTAAACTTGCAAGAAAAAGTATAAATTTAACAAAATGCGAACCTATGCAATCAGATTAGGGGTTCTACCTACCCACGGATGGAAATGGTGCGACCATTTGAACGTTTAAAACTCCAGTAAATTTAATTCTCGAACATTCGCTATCACATTTATTAATCTCGGAAAGAAGATTTATGCGTGGACGACGATGTTTTCACTTCATTCGTCGATGATATTTGCCTGAAAAAAAAATTAAGTAAATCATGAATGTCAACTAAATGCGACAAGTTTGATAAGAAATAACGCTGACTGCGAAGCAAGATTGGTCGACGGCCCTATAATGAAGCGAACCGAACTACAAGAGAGACGAATTTTTTGACGGGGGCTGTTTCCTTGACCAACTCGTTGGTAGCAGAATTTTATCGTAATTCAAAGCTTCAGGACTCCTGGAACATGAAGTATTACCTTCCAATCCTGCGTACAATCTGGGCGTTCTTGGAGAGAACTAGCAACGAAGGTGGCAAATTGATTGTGGGACCAGAACGAGGCATCAGCGAGTCATTCACTAACTGCTTGGAGTTAAGTGCCTTGGACGGCTTCTACTCATACGCCTCAGGCAACAATCCAATGTTTTTTGTGCCCAAGCACACTCGACAACGTAAAGTGCAATTTAGGTAGCACCAAGAAGTGGTCAATTCGACGCATAAAACGCTTAGAGACGCTGAAGGCATTTATTTTCGCCTTGGTGACATCCGTGAGCTGTTGAGCGGTCGCCACAAGCAGTAGAGTTAGTTCACAGTTCAATCTGGCCAACTACCGATGCAATTTGCTTCTGCTTTTTCAAAATTACGCACCGGATAGCAGTGATTGAGGAAAAACCGTGCAAAAAATGTGTACAGTTGTACAGCAAATCCTACTAGATACTATATATGGCAATCAATCACTTTCACAGACGAATAACTGACCACGCACGAGGTGAATCAAGTGGGGGCAACAGCAGCAGGTAAACACTGTCACTATGGCAATAAGTCGCAGGAATAGTTTGCGCAGACACGCCTACACAGATGTTCTTTTTGAGTAGAAAAAACAGCCAGCCTTATCACTAGCATTGCATCTCGATGAGTGACTTGAACAATCAGCAACGGAAATGCTCCACGCTAGCCTCCAGAGTACGCTAATTGAGCTCGTAGCGAGCTGCAAGCCAGCACTGTTAGCAGTCGTGAGCGAACACAAATCATTCGATTTTTTTCTGGTGAGCGAGCACAAATCAATCGATTTTTTTCCGTGAATGCACTCTGGGGGGCGGACAACCACCGCGCGCGTGAGTGCTGCGTGCATGCTTGCCCGACTGTACCGATGACTCACCCTCTTTGTTATTGGCTCCTGTTAGCAGTCGCCTTTTACGCACGCGTATCGATTTTACTCAAAGAATAAACCGTCGTGTTCCCTTTCGACTCCTTTGTCGCCTCTCTTCTCAGGTTGCAGCCGGCTGTTATCCATAGGGCCGTGCTAATTTAGGCCCTTACAAGCTTATGCCATTGGACTAAGGTACGGAAGTCAGTACACAACAAAAATTATTTGGAACAAATTGCTTCTACTTACTGGTCATTCGGTATTAAAACTGCTCCCGTTTAACTTCACTCTTCTTTAAATACCTCATAAAGGATTTCCCTTTAAATCGGCCCAATAGTAGCGTAGATTCTTGCACACTTAAATTCAACTGAAATGTACTCTAGAACCTAACAGAAATGTAGGCTTTGTGTTACGACAAACATGTATTTTTAAGGCAGGTGTAAATAATTCAGCTTTGATGGCCAAGCTAGTTGCCTCGTTCACAGCGAAGATATAGCTGTGTTAATCTGCGTGAAGAACGGCCATGATTTATTAAAATGTGTTCTCATATTTAGAACTTACGTGTAGAAAAGGAGGAGTTAGTGCTAGATCTGCAAAGCAGTTATTTAGGCGGCGCTCGCTCGTGGCAGTTTGCCACGATTTGACAGAAGGTTCCACAGTCATTTATTGAACCTTTCGTAACAGAGGGTGAGAAGTGGCTTGTGCATAACACGATAACACAGAAACGAAGCTCGAGGCATCGAATTAACAGAGCGGAAGCGTCAGGGGCTAATTAAAGTGCCTAACGAGGGAGCTACAACTTCTACAAAAGTTGGAATGCAAGCAAAATGCCAAGTTTTAGAAAAGAAGGGCAATTTTAAACATCACCATGTGCAGTTCAATCGAGACTTCAATAAATTATGGGGCTGAAAGGAAAAATCCTACTGAACACGCCGTTATTTAAAGGAAACGATTAATAGCACTTACCTAAACATTGCGTTATACCGTTCGATTAAATTTGATAAATTAAATAGCACTTCAAATCGACAACGAACAGTTACAAAATCCGATTTTGTTGCTTAAACTTGCCCTGATTTAAACAAGGAAAAAAAGGTCTATCTATAATTCTCATGAACAAAACATTTATCACATTCGTTTTCCAACTTCACGGAGCACGTTTTATTTATGTGTCTCCTTGCTTAATTGCTCGTTTTTGGCAGGTTGCGCCTGTCTTGAGCCTGGCTCACAACAATCAAGATTTACTGAAGCGACCTAAAAAAACGATACCAGATGAATTTTGAATTATCTGACTCTAAATGTGTACATTTCGAAAAAAAAGTGGGCCCCAGCATGTGGTCTTGAACCACGCCGGGGCCACGGAATTAACCCTGGTCCGATTACGTTTCCCTGATACCCGTGATGAGGAAGAAAACCGGAGAGGACGTGGACACAACCGTTTACTCCAGAGCTCAACCACGTTGGTGTCGTTGTGTCGTGTGTGGGATTTGCGCGTGTGTATTTATACCTCGGATGTGTGAGTCATACATGCGCTAACATCCAAATCTAGGTGTTAGGATAATCCAAGATAAATATCCGTGTGAATGAGGGCGGAGTTGAGGATCCCTGTGTCGGAGGACGGAGTGACCGAATTTAGAGGTGTGAATAAGCACGATTCACAGCAGACTTGTTAATTAATCATGACAGGGAGTTTTTATCAGATTAGATCTCAACAAATAAAGCAGGATTGCGATCAACGATCTGATCCCAAAATGGCACTGTAGATATAGGTCAAGGCACTGCGATCCCACAAAACTAGTATTAATGGGTGCTAATAAAACGAAAATCCTTAAGGAAAGTCTAATTCTTAAATCAGAGAAATGATAATGCATTCCAAGCAAAAAAACACCAACAATTGAACACAAATGGCGCCGAATCCTGCGTTTTATTGCAAACATACATGTGTGTTAGGCCTAATTAATGACCATGACATGTAATCTGGCAGTTATTTTTCGACAAGAAACGATACTGGTGTTTGGCATTACCAGGGGGGCTTAGTTTAAATTGTAGGTGTTGATGTGTAAGGGATTGGCTTTAGCCAAATTCATGAAATAATTAATGCCGAAAATTAAAAACGCTAAACGTTCTTAAAAATCTCTTGGGCTAGAACAAGGAAAACTGACCTAGAGACCTCAATATTTCACAGAAAAGAGAAGCCATGGTTGGATTGATAACCAACCACCAACGCGAAAAATTACAATTTTATTTTATGATGTTCTGAGTAATTCAATAAGTACACAAGGGTAGATTTAGCAAAAATTCATTGTCCGTGTCTATTTACAAGAAGAAGCAAAAATAAATTTTAATTTTGACCATTTGGATATCCGTTTTGTCGTCAGCGTTCCTGCCATTTGTAATGGGATTTCATAGCCTGGCTATTATTAGTACGAGCCGAGAGTTAAATGACCTGAAATGTATACAATGCTTGAATATGGGTGCAGGTTATTCCTGAACAGAGTAGTAAATAAATGTGTCCAATTTTACTACTGAAAGGCGGTAATCAATTGATCTTGAACAATTTTTGTATTACTTACCAAAACTTTACCTTGTTGTCCAGAGTGAGTAGTCTACTGGTATTAGAGTACACCTATCTCCAGTTTATCGATTGTTTGAATCCATTTTAAAGCCATAAACTGCCTAAATCATTTGGTTGATAAATAACACTGTCTTACAATAGAAACTCAAATAAAAGTTTATTAATTAAGCATAAAAATTAAATCAAAATGTTATCTGGTAACCAACTGACAGCCTAAAAAGTAATGGCTAGTCATACTTAAAGGTCAACCTGCGTAACAGCTTAATTGTAATTGTCATTAAGTGACCTGTAATACATTTTTTCTTTCTACAAGCCCCTTTCAATTAAGCATATTTTAACATCTTCTCGGTCTCAAAAAAATTTATACGACTATCCTAACCTAACACTAAACATAACAAAGAGCATGCGTAAATATTTTTCCAGTTGTATATGCAACCCGCCTAATGGTTTTATCGTTCAGGCCCAGATTGTGAATAAAATGGATTTTAAAGTAACTAGAATCCCAAGCTCTCACATCTCATATTACCTAGTAATTAAAATTAAATTGACTTTACAGAAAAAAAACTAATGAAAATTAAGCCAAGAAAGTTGTTATTTTTAGATTGTTCTATTTTGTACAAAAGTCATAAATTATGTGTTTTGTGCAAAAAGTGACCTGTAAAAGAAAGGACATAGCTTACCAAAAACACTTTTTTTACTTCCACTAGTATTTTGACAATCCCATAAAATTATAACATACGTTCTGCAAATAATCACATTAAATCACAAAATTAAAAATAAAGCAAAAGGAGCCAAATAATGTTTAAATATCAGCAATCGCTAGCAACAATAATGTAATTGCTTACAAATATTAACATGCATTAATCAATACAAGCCTAGTAAAAATATAAGTAATACTTTTAATACACCACAATCACATTTATGATGGTGACCTTACAGAGGGCAAACGCCCCGCTGATTTTGAAATCGTCAAAAGGTTCTTTGATTTTTGTTCATATTAGGAGCCTCCTATTTCTTAACAAACAACTTGCTGCGTTAAAGTTTTAGTGCATTAATAAGGCTCCACAAGACTTTATAACAACAAAATCCAGCTTGCAAATGTGATTACAGAAGGGATAAAATTAATTTACAAATCCTTTCTTTTAGAGTGCATGATCCAGGGTGACTCTGATTTAGTTCTTTATGTTATCAAAAAAGTAAAATTAATGTTGTCACAGTTCATATTTTAATTTATATCACGCATTGGATCCATCATCATTTAGTCGCCATTTGGACATGTTAAAATTATTTTGAGAAATTGCGTTTGCTAGAAATTTGTAAACGACATAAATAAAAGATAGTAATTGCATTTTTTTTAAATTTAGGTTAGATGAGCTATTTAAAATTATTGGTAAATAAACAAGCGTTAAAAATTTTATATAGCTACTTAGGTCAAATCGGCACTTAACATCTTTTACAAACCTATGTCAACTAGCCTCAACCAATGTAATAATTTTTTAACATGTCTATAGTATTTGCTAGGTGGTTTTTTGGACAGTTCACACTAGACGGTTGTGATTTGAAGTGATATTTCTGAATCTCTTTAAGAAATAAAGCCAATTCATCCAACCCAAAAAATATTTTGAAGTGCACAAAAAGTTTATGTGCGGAAGTCACGTTTCATTATCATCCTTTGTAGACACTTATTAATCATATATGCAAAACTAACAGCTAAAAATGCTTTGACAATATATTTGAACTGCTTTTTAAGAACCTCAATTCTTTTTCTCCTAATCTTGTGCTTTCATAAGTTGTGCGGTGCATGGTTTATTAAAATGGTGCATGAACATTCAACAAAACAACTAGAGGCCTTAGCTTACTTTCAATCCAATGGAATTCTGCCAGTGTTGGAGAGCTTTCTTAACCAGATGTTCAGGGACAAACCAGCTGATGTACCAGCCTATCTGGTAGTCCACCGTAATCTAATTTGCAAATAAAGGCCGTACAGCTTGAGAAATTCTTTCAGCCTCCGATAATAAAACATCTCTCTGTAAAATGGAACAAGCTTTCTCGCGTGCTTTCAGTTGAATTTAACGTGGAGCACAAAAATTTAAAGAAGGTTTTAATGTGCCTTTAATATAATTCAGTAGGTTTTTGGAAGATACGCAACTACAGTTGATCAATTTCTTGAGGAGAGCGTGGGTGATTTGCTGTCAAAAGTTAATTCCTTTCTTCAAACACGTACCTTCAGCGTAAACAGCCAAGTAGAATTGGATTGTTACCTTCGGTACACTTATCTGCACCATCCTCACGTTCATTTTAGTCAGCAGTATGCGGAAAACTATATTATCAATGAGAACACACCAGAAGATGTTGACGATGATGTTTCATTATCGGCTTTGTCTACAAGGAGAACCACAAAGTAAGGAATTACTACTGTTTGCGCTAAGTAGCGTTGTTTTCCTATCAACGTTAATTCCTCCGTTTTAGAACAGCGAGAACCGCGAGAGAGCGAGTTGTTGCAAGCGCGTCTGTGCCTTTGGCGCAACCCGTTGCTCACACAGTGACGGCAATTTCCATTGCATTTAATACCGCAATTATGGAACGCCATTTACGCTACCCTGAATACGTCAGCATCAACAACTTCTACTCGGTTTTTTCCAATCTTGTGAAGGCGGTAATGAATTGAAAATTTGAATTTCTAATGCCTTTCAATTACTGGTAAAGGATGTGAGAGAAAAATTAGTTGTAAAAAGTTAATTTTTCTATTTACACAAAGGTGAAAACTAGGAACGGTCTCGAAGACAGACTGCCAGAGGACTTTCAAGTGGACGGCGGGCAAGGAGCAGTGCCACTACTTGCGGTGCTCACAGTTGGCCAAGGGAAGTGCAAATGCATTCAAGAAGTCGCGGTGTTTCCGAAAACTCGCCCACCCTCCTCAGAGGTTAGTTTTCAACTGATTTTTGAGCTAATTAAGTACATTTAAACAGACACCAATCATGAACAAAGTAATCACTAGAAGCTGGATTTCCAAACAGAGAACTTCAACAAAGAATTGGAAACAATTCATCAAAAGACAAGTCCTACGCACTTTAAAAGGTTTCATTTATCGTGTTAAGTGATGCAACATTTGTTAACGTGTCGCACACATGGAGAATACAAACGTGCAACTGCTATCGCCTTTCAAGTTCCACGCTGCTACACTGTTCGTTAATGAGCTCAAAATATTGCAAAAATCACGTGATAGGGTTAGTTTTGCAGCGACAACTTTTGTCAATTCAACGCAGAAATGGTTTATTTAATCTTAACTGTCCGCTTTTGTGATATTTTTAAGAGTAAATTTCCTGTACAATATTCGCTTTTGACGGAACATCGCTAAAATTTGGCTGCAACCTAAAAAAAGTTGTCAGTGCTTGTCAAATTGTAATTTTTTGATGTCCCACAATTTGCCTGTGCCTAGAGATATTTATGCATCCAACTGAGAAACAATACAATTTCCACGTTGAAGGGGAGGATGCGGCATTCATTAAGGTCAGCGCATACGCCTTATTGTTCACTGACATGTGTAGAATCCAAACACAAAAAAAATGGCGGCAGAAATGTGTCACAACCGGACAGGCACATCCAGACTGGCTCAATCGTGTGTGGCGATGTGAGTCAGCATGCAAACATGTGTGCACGTGCGTGTGTGACGAACAATCCAACTAGAAAACAACGCTAGTGAGTTGTAATCAGTCTGTAGCAGTCCGAACCCCGACAACCCAACAACCAATCAGAAAGAAACACAAAAAATTCACATATAAGACGAGAAAGTGTTTCCAAGTTGTTCAAGGAAAGGGAAGTGCTTAGTGGCCAAATTTTTGTGATCACGTGACGCCCAAGGTTTGTGGGTTAATATCGAAGATAAGTGATTTTTTTTGCGAAAATGTCACAAGCTTATAAAAGCCCATATCTCCGATCCTCCCCCACTTGCCGTCGTGACTGAAAGCGGTGTTACGGGGAGAATTTTTTTCTAATACCAAAATCCCGGAGCGTTGTCGCGGACATCAAGATTTGGGTGGTTTGAAAAAATGTGAATAAATTTTACTCTAGACATTTGCAGATTGTCTGAGCGCAGTGTTAACTGCTTCCGTCTCCTGCATTATGACCTTAGTTGTGATCCCAAACTCTCCAACTTCACCAGTTACAATGTCTAAACTCAAAATAGGTGATTTTGCGGTTTGGTGCAAAAATCACCTAGCTAATTTTCCCGTCATATTTAATGCATGAGGTTGTCTGGAGCTCTGAAAACAGCAGAATCGTAAAATTTGTAAAAAGAGAACATTTCTTCCAACTGTGGCGTTTTGTCCGAAGGACACAGCATTTAAAAAAGTGCAGAAAGAGGTACAAACGCCAAGCTTGGTGCTGGCATCTTACAATTATCAAACAGAGTAATTGGAATGATAGCAAATTCACACCTTTCCTTGCAAATAATTGGCAGCAACTAAAGCAATTAGCCAGGTGGAAGTCACTAAGGCAGTAGAGAATGCCTTCTGGTTAAGATTTAAACTAAAATCGATAGCACGATAACGCCAAAACAATCATTTTACAAGTGCCCCGTACCCCAAAAGCAACAGTTTACTTGTTTACGGCATTGCTGTGGCGTTTTTCTATCAAATTTGTGATGTGGCCGATTCAAAAAATTAAACAAACAGACTTGAAAGGTGCTCGTTCTAGAACTGAGGAGCGGAAGACGTATCTGGCACTTAAATTTGCACTTTTAGGCGTTGGGTGGGCGTCAGTAATGCCTTTTTTTTAACTCACACAAACCTTATTCTAATCGCGACGCCACTACTGCCTGCTGGAGTACCACTTTGATGTCTGTCTAGCGTCACACGGGTTGATGGATACCTCATTACGTCGCCAGACCCGACACTGAAGCACTTACGGCTTAGAGACCAATGCGAGTTACAGGCCTTTTCACGGGGCATTTCTCAGAAACAACGCGGCTACTGGAATTTGAATCAGGGAGGTGAGCAGGCCTGACTAAACTCGACACACACACACAACAAGACCCCACAGGTTGCAGTTATTAAAACCGGAAAACTTTTGCTGAAGTTGTCCTAAATTCTGCAGGAAAACTGCTTTCCACTGGAAGACAGATGACGCCGCACAACCCCACTGCAATCTCCAGAATCATTTGAACTCTGTTCAGTCTGATCTTCGAATCTTGATCTCCTTTCTAGTTGAAAATTAACTCAGTGGAAGAAGGTTTGCGAAGAGGTTTATCTGCTAACATCAGCACGCGCTGAGGAGTGCGTGGCTTTGAGTAATGCCCCGTCCAGTGCATTGGACAGTCGTTAATCAAAGTCATATACCGCAGAGCGAGAGCGAGAGAGCTTAATTGCTGGATTATAGACGCGATTTACCCTCGCACTTGCTTACCGTTATCACGCTCACCCAAATTTTGTTCAAATTTCTTACCACAAGGAGGAATTTCACGTAGACTAATCGTGAATCAAATGTTAAATTCTTTACCAACAGCACTAGGAAAGCTTCATTTCGGTTGGTTAAGTGTTGGGGGTGTTGAGAATCGTGTTTATTCACACCCCTTAATCCGGTCGATCCACCTCCGACACAGGGTTCCCCGCGTGGAGCCTCAACTCCCCCCTCATTCGCACGGGTATTTATCTTGGATTATCCTCACACCAAGGTCTCGATGCTAGCGCATGTACGACTCACACATCTGAGGTATAAATACACACGCGCAAACCCCACACACGACACAACGACACCAACGTGGTTGACCTCTGAAGTAAACGGCTGTGTCCACGTCCTCTCCGGTTTTTTCCCTCATCACGGGTATCAGGTAAGCGCAATCGGCCCAGGATTAATTCCGTGTCCCCGGCGTGGTTCAAGCCAACATGCTGGGGGGCCCACAACAGCGGGCATTAATAACGGCCTGATGTATTGATTCTTGCAGGAACACTGTCACCGGGAGTGGGAGTGCTTGCGGGTACTCTGTTGCCTGCATTTGAAAATCAATACTGTGTCAAAACGATAGGTGCTTGTGTTGGCTGTGCCAATTAAAGCGTGGGCGTTTCTCCTTGCAAACCTGAGTAGGAGAGAAGTTATCGACGAAAACTACGTCATAAATTCACTACGTCAGCCTGAACTGAATAATCAAGTTGGCATGCATGGAATTTTCCCCTAGCGGGGAAAACCGTGCAACCACCCAATGTTTGTATCAAACAAGATCTGTCGATCAGTCGTGGTTGGCTCCGTTTCCAGTCGAACGTTTCCAAGATAGGCTTAGGATAAACAAAATGTTTTTTTTAATCTTATTTTCCTTTTCTAGCAAGAGCAGGCTAACGTTATTGGGTTCGCGATACGCTTGAAGTCAAACCATTTCGTCTTGTACGTTCTCAAACGTGGCTCACATTTTCCCCCACGCTAACTTCATGTTCGATCTGAAGTGTAGTGAGATACACTCTCATTTAAAAACCGAACGGTGATGTCGCGATCCACTGATAGAGGGTGTTCAAGGTTGTCTTACTCGACTTGAGACAGCCCACTTTTGGCTGCTGCCTAGACTAATGTCTGATGACGCAGACTGCCCACAACGACCAACTCTTTAAAGTTGAAATGGTCTGGGACGCGGCTTTGTAGGACATTTCCACGATTTCACTACTTCCGCTCCAACCACCATCAAGCACAACTTAAATTAACCGATAATTCCGTCATTTTTACCTGCGATTCATTCCGAAGGTTATGTATCTGCCAACTCTACCCTTCTTCCTGTCTTCTTGAGTTTCTGAGTAGCCTTCATAAAACCCAGCATTTCCTTAACAATTTTATCACCAATTTTGGGAAGGATTAAAAGATATGTTTTTTTTTTGTAACAATTTTTGTCAAATAACAACTTTTGTTCTTGCAAATTTTATTTCGTGCGATGTCTGGCTGGAAATCAGTCACGTTGCCCAGTTGTGTTGACAAAAAACAACAATTTAAATATAAAATGAATTGTCAGATTTGCTCTCTACTTGTGCCGGGCACAAATTTGAGTGGCTTGCTACAAAAAATTGGAGTTTTGCTCGGTAGCTTTACATTTCCTTCAGTTAAGTGCTAACAGTCGCAGTTCAGCTATCTCAAGTTTCAATCTCTCTTGTTTGTTTTAATGAGCACCACCTAAGTGCCTTCTCGTGCCGGTAGCCAGAACTTGCGTTTCACAAACAACTTACAACCCTCGAATAAGACAATTTTGCAGGCATTAAGTTATTACAATGGTGCTCAGATTCCATTGCACACAGCAGAAATCGGTTGCCTGCTGGTGTTTTTTTATTGTGCAGTGAATAGGTTCAAGGACTTCTGTAAATTTCTCTTGGCCCAAAAGCTACTTAGTGTTTTAGTGAGTAAAAAGCAGCAACGCCTGCCTACCTGAAATCCTCCATAAGCAAAGAGACCAAATGTGTTCTGCGACAATTTCGCCCCATGTGCAATTCTAACTATAACCCCAGGGCGTCCAAATGTGAAAAAAAACACTAAATATTTTAAGGAATATATGCTCCGCTTTGTTCTATCACTCTTTTAGGAGGCAACCGACACATTTTCAAAGCTCTATTTTGAGGTGAGTTAGAGATATTTTTTTGGCAGCATAAATACAGGCAATCCGTAGTGAAATTTCCCGTTCAGCTGACACGTAATGTGTATTTTGTCAGAATAAGAGTTGAGAAGTCAATTAACATGTCATATTTGCAAAAGCCACGATGAAACATGCACCTGAAATGAGCGTTTTCGGGAGTTGAGCCACAGCAGAAACCTCTTGTTACTTGTAAAGCTGTTGATTTGAAAAAAACAAATGTTCGAAGAAATCTGCTCAAAGGCATAAAACCAAGGTAACACCCTGTAATTATGATAAAAGTACAATTTCTTGTCCATTTTTGAAGAAACTTGAGCCGCCAATCATCGACAGGCCAGAACAGGCCATCGAATTCGTTCTCGACTTGCTTCAGCAGAGGGACGTTGAAGGGGAATTCTCCATCGCTGTTGTCTGTGAACCGTACGCACACTTCAACGAGGTACGTTCAATTTTACGTCTTCCTCGCATATGGACATCTTTGAAATAATCGGCAAAAGCAACGATTCTTATTACGTACAGAAGGGAAATTCAACCCTTTCAGAGGATTGTAGATTTTAAACCCAATTAATTTTTGAGGAAAACGAACTTGTTCAATGTCGGCGTGAAGGAAAGCTGTTCGTTTTACCTTTGAGCTTGTTGGGGATCCACGATTTCCCATGATTGCTCAACGTTGGTTTTGGCACAATTTATACCAATTCACTAACCTGTGTTTTACTACGCTTTTTTATCAAGTCAAGGTCAACCCTGACTTGAATTAGTTTCACTTTCGACACTCCACTCCGCACGTGGCTGACGTGAATAAAGCTCTGGTCTTGTTCTTGTATTAGCCTGGGAAAGTCGGTTCTAGCGTCAGCAAGGGATCTGGTGGCGTTATTTGAGTGGTATTCTCTACTGTTATGGGCAAACGTAACAGAGCTTGAGTTATGAGTTGTTTGCATGAATTTAACTCCGCAATCTGAACACAACAAGGGCATATTTGCAGCCAATCCATTTCGGTTTCCAGAAGTTATGCGTAAGCCTTGGGAGTAGCACTGACGTAAGTCTAGAAGCCCCAAAGCCTACCTAAATGTATTGTACGATTATCTTTGCCATTAAGCTGAACACGTTTCTAGACTAGAGGTAAGTACGAACCAACGAAGGGAGCGTTCAAATCCGCACAAGAAATGGTCGCAGTCTACGTCGGATTGCTTAGTGCCTACCCGCAAGTACGAATGCTCACGAATCCCTTCCGGACTGAAGACACTGATGCCTGGTTCGGCCTGCAACAGTGCCTCGTGGAGAACGACGCTCTAGTCAAACTCTGTTCGTCTTCCCGCGCCTGGCGCGTTGACTCGGGGTTCAGACTCACCTCAGCACCCACCATTTCTGAACTGGCACGACTGCTGCACGGAACATCACCTAGCAATGAGGAAAGTGTGGAAAGGCGGTCCTTTGACGCCTCCGATGTGATTGGTTTGAATGCTTTCGAAGTCCAAACTGACTGTTGTCTTATTCTGGACGTGGTTGAAGCGGTCCTGTTTGCAAAATGTAGGTACATGTTGAGAATGATGCAAATTCGTAGTCATGATGTCTTTTGTGACACGAGGGTGTGTTCTAACCTCACATCTGGCAAGCCTAGATTTGGTAAACCTGTAAATCACATTCTCTAATTTGTTCCTGAAAAAGCCTAGTGGTGGCTGATTGTAGGTGCTATTCTCTGATTGGGTGTTCCAGCTCGGATCTGGGTGTAATTTGTTTCCCGGTCTTCGTGGTCTAGGATTTGCAACAAAATTTGGTGTTCTGCGCCGAAGTTCAATCGAAACTTCCTGTCGAACTGATGGAATACAATGTTAGCCATTTGTCTTCCACTAAAAGTGTAAAGACTCGTGAAGCGACCCACACATACATTTGGAATTTCCTGACTTATGTATCACTTAACTGCCTTCTGATTGGTTAAATTCGATGGCACTAATGAATCTATTTAATGTTGTTTCATTGGTTAGCACGCTGTCTTCAGACACAGCTAGGATCCTCCTGGACTCCAGTAGTCCACGCGACGCACATACTCGATCAATTCATCATTCTATATTTCTATTGGTTGTTGAAAATCTTATGTTCCTGCTTCAAGCCCTTCAATGCTCATATCTATCATCATCAACATCACTATTGCCCTGTTCTGCAGTACACAGGACTCAGTATACACAAGTTTGTATAGAGATTTCACTGGGCCGGTGTTTATCAATGGTTGAAAGGTAATTACACCCATACTTCCGGCAGAAAGGATTGATTTACAATAAAGGCTATCGCGCAACGAATTCCACGCCATGTTGTAGGTTCAAGAGGAAAAGATAGCACTAGTCTTGACACAAGCCAAACTGGTAGTTTCTGGCTCCTGTGATTAGGATGACAGTCGTTTCACAAAACAGGTTTTTTATGTTTTGATAGATGAACTCATACATTAGCCCGGGATCAAATGATGGCTAATTTCTGGCGTTTTCTGCTTTGAATAGGCAAGAAGAAGCAAGTCACATTTGATCTGCCTCGAGACTCGAGCATCGGCGTCAACAATGAATTGACCTTGGCTGTGGTGAGTGAATTTGCTGAGATAGGCATTGTAGCAGAGAGCGTAGTTCGTGACTGTCGTAGCGCACAGTAATGACATAAAACAAGTCATGTGCAAGTCAAGAGCGCCGCCATTGTGGTCAGTGCTGCCATTTTCAGATAGCTGGTGCTACACTTACCACATTATTCTTGTTTTACTGTTATGCTATTTGTTGTAACACTATTTGTAGGCACTGTGAATAACTGGCTGCAAAAATGTTATGCCATAAGAGAGAAATTTGACAATGATTGTTTAAAGTTGGTTAAGGGGGAGCCTAGTTTCGACACTTTAAGGTAAAGTTGCTTAATCAATCATTGACTAGCTCTTATTAAGACTGATTTACACCCTGTTTAAGGCACTGGCAGTTGGAGCCGATTACATCAACTTCGGAAATGTGCATTCCGTTTTGCAACGTGGAGAACTGGCCAAGTGGATTGACGTTGTCTACGATGACCAACTATTGGTTTAGAGCACTCTGTCAAATTTGGTTAATATACTACTTATTACAAGGTTATTCTACGTTTTTAAACAGCGACGTGGTACTAAATTTTGCCGAGATAGGAACCAACATTTGTCTTAATTTACACGTGCTAAAAGCCCATTAAGTAGAGATCAGAGAACATGATTTGTGTGGCAATTATAAAAAGAACTTGCAACACTAAAACAATCAGGTTGGTCGTCTGCGATCTCCAGGTCCATCGAGGGAAGAAAGAGGGGCACCTTAGTGGCTAGCGCGTTGTCTTTATTGACTTATTACAATTTCGGTAATCCTGGGTGATTCATTAAGAAGAGATTTGCTACAAAAGATCGAATTTCGACCGTGATTGGTTTGGTTTTGCCGATTAACAGGAAGTGCAATCGAGGATTTTGGAGTAAGATGTTTCTTTTTGAGATTATCATGTCGACAATGCTCGGTAGTCGTAGTGTTTGTGACTATCCGGCGTTTCCCAAAGACGCGTTCAAATCAACTGACGGTGTGTGAATCGAGGACATCTAAGAATGCCCTCTGCCTTCCGTTTCAGTATTATGAGAACTTAAATAACCACCTTTACCCTACTTTACTTACAAAACAGGGTGATTCCCGCCTATGCTAAAACGTCTGAAAAGCAGGATTGCCATTTAAATGGAGCGGTTGATTTTGCAAGTAAACAACCCTGAATCTTGTGACTTAAAATGCCGCGGTTGTGGGAAATTCTTTTCACGACACAATAATCCCACCAAGTGCGCGCTTCTCCACAAATCATGCGAAGACGAAGGCCATCACAAAAGCATAAACTCTCAACTAAGAAAAGGTACTTGCTGCAGCACGCTCGTTAAGGCACTTGTGATCCAGCGTAGTTTATTGGTTGTTGTCAATGTTATCTAAAGGGACCAATGAAGACGATGGATTCTGCCTAGTTTTATCGATTACTAGATGAAGAGTGATGCGCAAAGGTAGGCTCGGCAATTAAACCTTAGACTACCTGCGATAACCCGAGTAGCGTAAGTCACCCTTAGGGGGGAAAGATTGTCTTTCTGCAAAATAGAAGCACCAATACCTTAATCAGGAAGTGAGACGCAGGCTGTCACGTGACATCCCAGGGCATTAGAACCACTTCACGGACAAGGAAACTTAGACGGTCGCACCAGGCGGAAACTTCTCAAACTAATTTTGACATTTGTGGCGGAAGATTTAGCCCAACATTCTACAAAGTAGCGGCTTCATATGTCCTTTTCAGAAAGCATTTCTGATACAATGTATCAAAAACAGACACACTCGCACGCACACACACACATGTGTGTGTGTGTGTGTGTAAATGTGTGCGTATATATATTCACGATTTGCAATAAACTGGTGTTGCTCTAGTTGGTGGTATCACAAGGAATGGTTTGGGGGCAGGGTGGGTGGGTATTAACGTACAGGAAGGCGATCAAATAAGAACAGGGGTAAGGGGGGAAGCTGGTCTTACAACGGTTCAGTGAATTTCAGCATCGCCATGATGTCGTGGTCGCCCCTGGTGCCACGGATGAACTCCTCGCGCGAGAGGGTGCCATCCTTGTTTACATCCAGTTTGTCAAATATGGCCTTGGCGTGCTCCTCGGGAGTCATCTGGCCTGGCGGTAATTGGCTCGTGTCAAGGACGCCGATCAGCTTGTACAGCGCCTGCACAAAAGCCATTGGACGATATGTTTTACATTACGTTCAAATGCTTTCCACACAAAAGACAAGTCCTACTGAAGGAGAATCTTAGAAAATGGATGTCGACGACATTCGAACAAATCCAAAGACACAATTTGCATCATTGCGTCACTGGTAACGGCCTTTGCCTCTGATTCAGGCAGCCAAAATAGAGCTCACTTTAGGTGTACAAATTATCTCTAGCACACAGGAATTAATCAGTGTACTAAAAGTTGTTTTTGCCACAACGAAGCTTAAATAAACGGAAAAAAGCAAGGCACAATGTCGTCTAAATAAAATCCTTGCACGCAACACCCGTCTGTGTTTGGACAACGGTACCAAGAAGTCAACTATTCTTTATCGGCTGACAGGCGAACATGCCATTTGGGTTATTCGACAGCGCGTGAAAAGTTTGTTCTGGCTCTTTTAGACACATTTTCTTGGTTAAATTCACTGAAGGAGGGTTGGTTTAGAGCCAAAAAACAGTAAAGGAGGCAAATATGTACTTAGAACGCATTGATATCCCGTTTGTTTTGTGACCTGCCGCGGGTTTGAATCATGGAAACCGTCCAGTGAGTAAACCGCAGTAGAGTTCATAAGTCGTTCCAGTTTTTGTTGAATGCGCCTGGGATATCCACGTGCCTTTTGATCAAATCAAACCTACTGAATTCACTACAAAGCGGGCCCTGGTTACGCCTAACAGCATCCCTCATCGCACTCACACTTGCCGTATAGTATGCTACTCACTCAATAAACAGAGGGACGTCTCTCGTGAGATCAAAGCGAAATGAATGCCTTGTGTAAACACATTCTGGCAAACACGCTTGGCGCTTCAATATGCCGTAAAAGACGTAAGTACTATGTAAACTTAAAAGGTTAATGGGGGTACTAGATGCCGCAATTGTAGTTGCGGTATAAAATCCATTTAAAATTCATTTGGGTTTAAAAAAACGCGATCTTCTAAACCCACCCAAAGCAAAACTGTGTTTCGAACATAAAGGAGAATCAATTAGCTAAAAAAAACGAATTTGATTGGTCCGGGGATTCACAGGTGATTAGGGATTGGTGCAAGCAAACTACAACTCCCCCGACCTTGAAATGAGCAAACCGCATGGCGTACTATGCAACTTTACCCATAGTGGGAGTTTTGACGTGATTACGTTGGGTTTGCGGATTCACCTGACGCTCGTGACCCTGGAAACGGGTGGAATCAAATAAAATGCCTAATCGCTCGTTAAAACGAAATGATAATTACGATGATAATGAGGAACATTTGCACTAGGGTACTTTTAGGCGCATGCCGATGGTTGGAAGTACGCTGTGTGCAATCTCCCAACATTCGCAAATTTAACTGGTTATCGTGGGATTTAAACTAAGAGTTGATACATTCACCAACAGGATTGTTTGCGACAAGATGATTCGGTCAACAGACCAGTGTGCGAGGGTAGGGGTGAGTTCGAAAAACGCGCGTGCTGAGTTGAGGACAGGGTGTTGCCGAAGAGAATAACCAGGTGCACAACTAGAAGCAGTTAAGCAGACACTTAAGAAGTTAATGAAGAAAAAAAGTACATTTCGATCTGTTTTAGGCGAAACGTCGCGAGTTAATTACCTACTCCAGATACCACAACCTTGCGTCCCCCAACGATTTGACTCCAAGCAGCATGGTTGCGTGAGTCGCAACAAGCTCAAGACGCGCGCGCGTCGATCTCGGGTCTAGGCAGACCCGGCTTTCGACTCTCTCTCCGCGAATGGCAGACAATAGGGTGTGTTTTACAATTAATCAATTTTGGACGCAACTATAAGTGCATTTTAGGCGTTTGAATTTTAATTAGTTGTGCGAGAATCGCCAAACAACCGCTCATGGGAGATCAGAGGTCGCTGTGGTGCTTAAGTGTTCGAGGTCGGGGCCCTCTGATTAAGCTTGATTCCCAATAAAACACATCTGAGAAGGAGTTCGTGGACTGCGTAGTCCACTTGCACAGTTAACACCTCGGAACGCTGCCAGATTTCGTTCCACTGAAGGTCGCATTCGAGGCATACTGTTGGAATGCAAGCCTTCATTTAAAATAGCGTTTACGCCTTAGACTGATCCCGTGAGGGTAGCCTGAACTGCGGCAAATAGAGGAAACAGTCGATCACGTGACCCATGGTTCAATACCTTGAGTGAGCGCACAACGTAGCCAGCGCCGGAATCGCAAAGACAAGAATTGCACCAACTCTGATGGCAACACATCCTGGCATATCTTTTACCTTCCGAACAAAGGAGGGACTCGAACATTCACTGGTCTGGCTGATTCTCACATTCACGTGAATAAGCCTGCAAAATGGCAGGAATGAGAAAGTCAGGATATTTTGTAAACAACACGCCTATATTTGCAATTGTGCCATCTGACGGTGTGCCGGGTCACATGCCTGAGTTAAGGTAAACACTTGATGACACCCACATCAAGATGCCGCACTCACGACGCCTCACTGAGAATCGGTCGATTTATGCAGTGTGACATTGAAGGAGACACTTTCGGCTTACGGCGATTTTCCTGATCACAATTTTTATAGTTATTGCCAAGGGGAAAGGATTTCGCGAGCTCTGCTACCGGGATTTGATTGCTATTGGATGATAATAGTGATGATGATGATGATGGAACCAACTATGAACCCACCGTCCTACTAGATCAAGTCCACAGTGATTGAGTCGATTAAAATTTGACTTCCACAGGGTTTTCCAGAGGTGAAAACTGAACATGTTAGTTAGACGGGGCAATATACTTGTGTTGTAGTACAAGCTGGAATAATCGCATGTGGATATCTCAGACGTGGCTGTGTTAAAATTCTGAAAGCATTCATTTGCACACTAGAGTGGTTTTGAGCTTTCAACAGCTAAACTACCTTCGACGGACGAGTTGGCTGTGATGTAGTCTTTCGTGTGGGTGAAGCTGACCAACTGACAACCGCGCCGTCAAAATGGGATACATTTTGACGAAAAAGGTCCACCGGTAATTCCCTGTGGAGTATAGCAGATACAAAGATGGTTTTTAACTAGGCTAAAAAATCATTGAGCAGACCACGTTGGAAAAATTAGTCCCCTGCAGCCGCAGATATTCTAGAAGCAATTATAAGACTGAATCCAACAAAAGCCAAATGGGCAAATTCACCATTAATAACTTATTAAAAAAAACTTTAATGCCACATTTGAGTAAAAGTACTGCATAGCGATTTTAAAAAGTACTTGAATAAATGTCCGCTTAACCAATGTTGTTCTTATTTTAAACCAGAAATCATGTAAACAGACAAAAACGTTCAATCAACCCAGTGTCGCTGAATGCAGAACTCATTCGAGACAACACCGTACTACTCCAAAAACAATCATTAAAACCAGAAAGACTGCTTTTGCACCAGTGCGCCATTCGTCTTATTGCTACGTGCTATCGCTGGACCAGTAGCAGCGTGCCAGATCAAGCACACACACACACACACACACGAGCACCTATAAATATGTGTATACCTTGCACGCCTTACAAAGTGAAAACAGAGACAATCCCAAAATTTTGCTCCGAATAATTTTTTAATAAAACTGCCATTTGCAAAATAAATTTAATTCATTAGTAAAGTATTAAGGAACCAATATTTAACTGCACATAACAGTTTTGAAAGAAATCAGCGCATATTACACTGACTCATGCCTAGTACGTTATCGCAAGTTCCGCTTCCCAGATTGGCACACCGTGTTAATTATTTCAATTTGAAACGTTCATGTCAGACTAGTCCAAGAGTTACTGGAGGCCTATTCCCGCAGTTTAAGATGCGGCAACTTACATTTTAAATAAAACACGAAAAACTTATCCAATTCCTTCAGAGATTATGCTAACTGCAACTATATCAAATAAAATACTATTACTGGTAGAATTTTATTGCCTTAGTAGACATTTGCAATATCCAAACAAATTCTACATCGGTTTGTTTGGAATAGTTTCGACATTAAACTGGCAGTTGGCAAGTTAGTCCAATTTCGAAGCATATTTTGCAGGATAAAAGGGAAATGGTACATACTCATACCACAATACAAAAGCCTTAAAAACGTATAAAAACGATCCTTTACCGAATAATTCATGACCATGATCACCCCAATTTCAATTCAGAGTGAAACTGAAGTGATTTATAAGGCAAAAAACTGACAAATTTACCATATTTAAGACGGGTTTATGCACACTTTATGAGTTAAAATAAGAAAAAAAACAACAACAGAATTGACTTACCTTAAGCATAATTACCAATTCGTTTATTGTAATAACTCCATTCTTGTCCTGATCATATAAGTCGAAAGCCCAATTAATTTTTTCATCAACCGTACCGTTGTTAATTATACCAAGCGCGCAGGTAAATTCTGTAAAATTAACTGCTCCGTCGCCGTTAGTATCAAAGCTATTGAATACAATATCAGCGAAGGCTTCGGGATTTCCACCAGGGAAGAAATCGGAATATACCTGAGCAAATTGCTGTCGACTCATTTGGCCATTTGGAAATTGCTTACGAAACCTTTTGTGCCATTCTTTAAGCTCTTTTGGAGACATATGAGTCTTCTTCTGGAGCACATCAAGGGTCTGTTGGTCAAGGCTTGCTTGCTTATTCCCCATTTATCCTAAATGCGCGGTTGTTGTTTCACCTAAGATTTCCAAGCAAATAAACAAAACGAAAAAATTACAAGTAGAGGCACCTAACAGCTGCTAAACTAATTAACTTTGTTCTACCTTAAATTTAACTGCCATGCGTAAACATTATATATTTATTACTTATTACGGTAGTTTGACGTTCAGTGGAAATCAGTAAATTTTCTACGGAAATCATAATAATTCAGGAAGCATATATGATATGTTAGACACACATTTCGCTAAAAAGCCCATGCAGACTTCTTTTTTAATTCTTGTTTTCTATTCAACAACCATTGCAGAAATATAGATAACGTAATTTTACAATTTTTCGAAAACCATTGACGCCGTTTCTGGTTTTGGATTAAAATCGACCGCGATCAGTGTGAATATACCGTTAAGTTGTGTCAATCTGTCTGTGTTCACTATCTTTAATATTTTTTAACGTTACTAGGTTTTGGTCATGTGAACTTCCAAAAGCTTTTTTTAAAACTGGGATTTATTTTAATATGAAAATGAAATAGAGGCAAACGTTTGTCAAATTCGGAAAGAGATGACTAGTGATCTATTAGTTATGCAAGTGGATCTAAATCAGATTACACAGATTACATATTGCAAAATATAAGTAAAAATATCAAATTTCTTCTCCGAATTTCGGAACCAAAATAACATTTTACTCAGAACGTGTGATTTGTTTATGGCTAAAATTTCATTTGCATTAAAAAGGGTTATTCTATTTAGAAAAATATGTGTGTTTTGTATTTTTAATGAAGGGCAGATAACAACATGTTCATTATATCATTTAAATTCAAGAAGATCAAAGAGGATTGCATAATTTGTTTTCTCATTTAAGATTTAAAGAGCCATCCAAAATTTGCAATTGTTGCTCCCACCGTGTTAAATTCTATCGATTGGAGACCTTAATGGATGGAATACTTTCGGGTCTTCTTTTTTAAATAGGCAAACCACAAGATTTAACCACCAAGCATACGTTCGAGCACTAGTAGGAGGAACCGCATACAAATGCAGACAGGTTAAATCTAAGGAAGAGTGTTTTTGTTAGGATAGAAAAAGGATGGGAGTAAGGGGGAAATAGGATTTAACCCAGGCTGACGGACCTGCCTTGAGCATGCCACAATAGTGGAAAAGAAGAGACGGGCAATGAACAGATTAGACCAGCGTACGTTGGCCTAATGGCGAGCGTTTTAATATGTTTATCTAAAGTTAGAGCGCACCTAAAAACGCATACTATGTTATAATATCACAGAGCATATATACGTAAAACTGCAAACAGATTTTTGAGAATAGCGCTGGCCTCAGTGCCGTGTTGGATAGAATGGATTGTCTAATTAAGGGATGTGGAGATTCCTCATTCATGTTCGCTAGCTACAAAAAAGAAAACGCACCTGTTATTATATCTTTATTCCTAGTGTTCATATTTATCATTGAGTAATTCTGTTGCCTTGGTTGACTAAGGGGAAAACGCTGGCGTGTTCATTGGGTAATCTCAATGCTGTTTAGAGTTGGGATTTGTGAGCTGCTAAAGGAGTGTGCTAATAAGTTGAGGAGTATCAGGAAGGACTTGAGAATGGGACTCTGAGGAAACATCAAGTGTGTGCGCTGCCACCATACTGTAACTTGCTACAGAGCGCAGATCCAACTAGGTAGGTAACAGTCAGGCGGGATGGTGATAGGGGAAAGTAAGACACAAACAGGCTAGAACAGTGTGATGGTCGAATGGTGCGTACTTTGATATGATCACCTAAAGTTAGAGCACACCTAAAAACGCATATTTTTAATTATACCACAAAGCACATATGCGTACAACTGTAAACAGATTATTGACAATTGAAGTCGTCTTTTTTATCTTGATCGTTTTTGCTCTCGTAAGTATCTGCTTAGCGTAACCTGGATTAACGCCTGATCTGGTTCCAAAACTCAGTTTACTATGTCAGCGTCTCGTGATTTCGACACGATTACCAGGCTACTACGCTTGTTTAACAGCGTCATAATTTATTTTTGACACATTTAATGAATAATCCATGCATCTTCATAATTAAATAAAATCAATATCCGCATTTAACGTATATGGTCAACAACCAACTGCAATTTTACAGGTTTTTTAATGGCCATCGCTCTTATGACCTAAGTCAGTCAGAGGTATATAGGCTCAGGCACTTTATAAAGAATCAAATTTTAAAATCAGCATATGATCTAAGCTCATTGACTGTCAAATTCAATTTTCGGCATTTAACTGATCCTTAAGATTGCATTACGATGACTTTAATGCACTAAATACGGGGTTGAAAATATCATTCAGGCGTCTCATTAAAATGAAAACAAAAGACTCTCCGATGTTTAACAAGGCGTTCGTTAGCAAAAAAGAAGCTGATATAAAATGAAAAATTTGATTTTGCTAAAGATTAATAGGCCACTTGAAGTCGTTACTCAACAAATTTGCATATGTCAAGTGCTCGTGCTCAAATATTGTTGTCCTTTCCAATATCATCCATGCCGTCATTATTCATTTAAGTTAATCTTTAATATTGGCGTTACAAATCTGCAACATTCCGTACCTAAATCATTCTTATTTGAATCAGCGTTCCACAGATAGTCAATTTGTTTATTCCTACTTTCAATATTTCGCAAACATTTAGAGGCATAACACCACTGATTCCAAGGTCCTCAACTTTTTAAAGGGAATTGATAACAAATTATCAATGCATGCCTTTGTCGGTGATTCATAAATCAGGAAATAAACAACACTGATCACCAAAATTTGCTGGAAGCTTGTGGTTGGGCCGTCACCTGACGCGTTGAGTTCGTCCGCTGATGATAGCGCATTTTTTAAGATTTTTGATAAGTGTCGGTGTGGTCGTCGTCTCTTCGGGGCAAACGAGTTGATCAGCCATTCTGTGTGTGATATGCGTGGTTTCTGAGCAAGAAATATCTAAAGGTTGTCTTCAATTCCTATTTAACTGGTAGGCTTTAGGAATTCACTGAGTTTCGAGTTAAAATCTTTGATTAAATTTTCTGGTAGGCATTAGAGATAACCCACGACATTGCCTTTTTATTCTTTGGTCCATCTAAGCTTTAGTATATACATTTATTTGCAATGACTATTGTAATGCAGACCTGTCCATGGGTTTACTATGGACTTGCTCGGTTGTATGCTTTTTATGATAGACTGCGTACGTCATACTGCTCAAATTGATTCTTATGAGGCAGGAAATATTTTTCACTTTGTTGTTATTATTTAAATAAATGTAATCTGAGTTTATTTCTGTTACAACTGTGCAGGAAGTGGTTAGAAGAAGTCAATTTCGTTCTCGACATTGTAACCATGTAATTGAGTCCTTGGACATACCCTGTGTTGTCCCTTTCGTTTGTTTGTTTGTTTATTTTATAATAAGAAGGTACATTAAAAACTGTTGAATGCTTTAAACAATAAAACTAAAGACGTACAATGAAATCTGAAGGTACCTTTTTGTAGCACCTAATGCGATTGAGGATGGTATTGGTTTCATTGTTCTTCCTTTTCTATTCTAGATAAGAACACCAAGAAGTGATGAGTGGTGGTGGTACTGGCAGAGGGTCTGGCAGGGCCCATTTTCGAAGCAAACTCGGGTGCTGCATTTGCGGAACCAAGTCATCTAGCTCCCGCTTCACTGCTTCTGAGCGCTATGCGGAGCACTTTGGACCTTGCTTTGGCGAAAAGGCTTCCAAGCGGTCTGGCGACTTGTGCAACGCCTGCGTTCTCTGTGTCAAACGCTGGTTGGGACGTGGCAAACAAGAAGGCTACTTCTCGCAAGTAATTTCAGTCGATTCATTTAACATGGAGTCGGCTTTTCTCATCTATTTACGCCACGCTTTGAAGCAAGTGCTATTTGATGGCCGATTATAACTAAAATTTACAAAATACGCCCTTGGCTTGACAGCTTTTCGTTGAGCTTATTGTGCTTTTTGACTTGGCAACAGACGAAATAGGTTTTCAATTAATGTCGTTTCAGACGAATCCATCCGTCTCCTAGATTCAGATGGTGTTTACTTTGACCAATCTTATAGGTGGAAATGCCACTATAAATTCACTTTCTTCAGTTGTCTACCAACTCCCAACAATCCTTACCACATGTTAAATTCGTGAAGACCTCGTCGTAATTTGACCAAGTTTGGTTTCTTTTGATCTTGTGCAGATCCTTTTCTTGTGGAGCGCACTTTAGCACTTAGTGTTAACAAAATACGCGCCTACTCGCGTCACCAGACTTAGTCAAAGATCGCCAAGTGCCGGAGACCTTTAGCAACCTATTGAATTTGCTATTGGGCTATTGTTAGGCTAAAACAGTGACATATTTGGACTGACCAAATCAATATTGTTACATTTGTTTGGGGTTGTGTCTAATCTACCCCACTTACTAAGGCCCTCTTTCCTCTGTCTCGTCGGAATTAGTTGATTCCTTCAACTTATCGTGTCACTTTTTTTTCAACTTTCGCTCCCCGGGGCAGAAGGTTCTTGTTTTGCTGTAGCAATTTATGAGCACTGTTGATTTAATCTTGTGCTTTTCTGACTGGTCAGTTTCTGTAGCTTGGATGGTTACTGACTGACCAAGCCACTTTGGCGTGTCTTTCGACAGTCCTTTTACCATTGTGCTCCGTTTCGGTTTTACGTTGGCTGAAGGCCCAATCGTTCCTCACCCTCATTACCATAACTTGAAGGCAAAAGTTTTTTTTTATTTAAAAAAAAACGAACTTGTGGCAAAGGTGATCTCATTACCACCACCTAAGGTGGTTTAAGCCACGCGCATACGCAAACTGCATCTACTCACACTTCAGAGTGCCGAGTCATTCTGACTGGTGGAATTAACACACCTCGTAGTAAATGCGTTGCACCACTAGTACTGCGGTCGAGATTCTTCACTCTCATATTAATCCTTCTTCCTAATGCTGAGCAGATTGTGTGTCACGAGGCGTAGCAGCGACTTGCAAATTTAGCTGTAGTGCGGGATTGTGCAAACGCCTTGGTCGAAACTGGGAGTTGCCCCAGTTTCCTATGGCCTTCAGTTCAGTTTGGTGAACTGCTTGGCTGCTGAAACATCTTCCGGGACAGGCTATTCGCAGTTTATGAAATGTGAATCCTGTGATTTGACCCTGGCGTGGTGGTGTTTTGCACGTGATCGTTAATTCGACGAAAGACCTGTGGTAGTTGAATCCGGGCGTGACTAGGCCAGTGCACCGTGGAACCCGTAAGGTCACATGCGAGCATGTCCGGAAGATGCTCGCATGAGCCGCCACCCTCGATGAGTTTGTGGTTGGCATTTAAACGCCACGTTCGACTGACACGCGCGTATCGGCAAACCGTGGAAACTCAAGTCAAATTCGTGTACCCTGGTTGCGTCGCCGCAGATCGCAATCGTGCTGCCGAGGCACGCGTGTATTCGGCTGACCGAACCACGTCGACAAGCTTTGTCCGATTCGTGGCCGCGCATACTGGAGGGTGATTGAGGCTTCCTTTTGGCTCCATGAGCCGCGCGACCCTTCCTCCTGCACGCGGTATTGGTAGCCTCTTATCAAATTTTCACAACTCTCGAAAACGCGCTTGTTCGAGCCTCCTTCTGCCTATGTTTTTGACTAGGGTTTTTTCCAGCTTTGTCGAAATTCCATCCCACTGTCTTGCCGTTTGTAAAAATGTGCAAGTAGCAGCGGCTTGGTTAGTTTCTGCCTAACTCCTGTGGGATTATGTGGGAAAATTCTTGGAATTTCGGAAGTTCCTGGGGAAAAATTGTGACTAAAAATATACCAAGAGGATCGCGGTTTCGCTATGTAGGGGCTGCGGGTGTGTTCTGGGAAGATTTTGGTTGTCCTATCGACCTCGGCGTCTATGCCACCGCCAATTGGGTCAAATTTTCTGGCCGTGCTCCCTGCCCCACGATTTTCTAGTGACACGAATCAATCACTGCTCTGTCGACAAACGTGACTTCCTGAATTCATCCACGGGGCATTTTTATAACGCATGTTTGCCGTTTATCGTCCCAAAACGCCGCTACAGTTCCTAGTTGGTGAACACGCTGGTTCGACCGGCCTCGTCTTTCGCACACACACACACACACATCTGCCTTTTTTCCTTTAACGCGGGCAGTAAACATTTATTTAGGCGTTGTTATTTGTTTTAATGTGACACTCAGTGTGGCTTTGCAGTCACAAGGTCATAAATCATCCCGACTCCTCCCTCATTCCCGAACCCATTTTGCTAGCTGCTTTCAAATTCCCTCGGCAGTGAAGATTAAAACAACACGAAACCCAGCCAAGCATTGAAATTAGCCGAAGTAGTTGGTGGTGTGTCGAGTGTAACACCCAAGCCAGCTGCACCTGTACAAGGACTAGCCACGACCCTGTAGATGTCATGAGGTTGAGGACGACGAAATGATTGACTGTCTCGTCTCGAAAAGTGGTGTTGTACGGATTAACTGAACCACCAACGCGATGTCGACTGGTGGTGTTGCTAAGACGTGGGGCGATTTCAGGCTTTATTTACGCTAAAGTTTTTTGTGCCCAAGGCCTGCAGAAAACAACTGCTTCTCCCCCACTTTCGTCGCCGCCTCACTACGGACTGGAACCATATTGTGCCTTTAGTGTGCTACTGTTGACTCGTCAACCAGTCAATCCCGTGTACCATCCAATTCCCAGTCGGTGCTCGACGCGAAACTCCATCCCCTACCATCGCTGTTTTCGTCAAAAGGCGCTTTTCACCCTGTAGCCAAGTCCTGCAGACCGCTCGCGACCAATCGGACATTGTTTTCTGTTGACAAAACTGGCCGTGCACTGCATTATTTTCCAAAGCACCGAGAATTACATCACCCCCTGATCCTCCTGCGGTGTTTAATCGTGTGTGATGAGGCTCACACGCGGCATTGTCATCGTCGGCGGCGGTTCGTCACATGAAGCAACAGACACGCCCATGCGTGTGTGCGCACGCACGCTCGTTTGATGCGTTGTGTCAGGCGCTGGGGTCACACTGCACTCCCTCTGGCCCTCGTTTCAGCACACGTCATGGTTTGGGTCGAAAACGCGCAAATTTGCCTGCTAATGACGGACACAATGCAACGCCTTCTCTCCGCCAATCAGCTTGGCCAGACGAGTGCGCTTTCGCAAATAAAAAGGCGTCTAGCGGTGTCACTACATTGAGGAAGGGGGCTGCTGATTGACTGCGCCTTCCTCTGGGGTCGCTGCAACACCTCTCGGTGTGCACGTCGGAGGCCATTAGAGCCCATGGCGTATCGTCGCAGTGACTGATTTTGTGGCTCGCGTGCCAGTCGTTTACACGTAATGCGCTCTTTTCAACTGTCACAACCCGCGTTGGCGCAAGCTGGCGCACCAGTCACTCGGCCTGTGCGTTTGTCCCTTTCATAGGACCAAGAAAACACACCATAACAGCCCCTTTGATCTCTGCCACTTTGGATGCGGAGGTAGCCTTGCAGAGCGTGGAGTTTATGTCTTGTAAGTAGCTGCTGCGGGTGGGAGGGGGGTGGTTTTTAAGCGTCATGCGTGGGCGTTTCGCTCTGCAGCTGCTCCTCAGTCCCTCTTGTGGTGGTCACCAATTCCAACTTGGTGCCGATTAGCGTCCCCACACACACACACCCACCTCACGCACAAACCCCCACTGCCTCTGTGCTGTCGCCCTCGGGGAATTCTACTTGGCCGTCTCCCGTGTTTTCACCTTCCGGGGTGTAATCGATGTGACCGTCAGGAATATACACAGTCGCTCCGCCTGTTATTCATGAATAGTTTGATGTTGCATGCAATTTTCATCGAAATCCCATTTTTTTCTCCATCATTTTGCGGCGTCATCTTCACCGACCACCCGACAACCCCCCAGAGGCAATTTTCAGATTCCGAAGTTTCGTGTCGTGCTTCTCCTGTAACTACCCAATCGGTGTGACACAAGGGGATTTGAGCTGTCCCTCCGTTCCACTTTGTTTTTTTCTGCATAGTTTTGTGGGGGCGGTGTGTTTTGTTAAATGTAGCCAGCCTGCGTCAAAAAAAAACTGCATGCTTGAGGCAGGGGCACGCTCTTAACAGCTGGACTGTCCTGGGTTTTGTTTAGTTCGGTACTCTCAGCTCGATCAGTGATTTTCTGAATGAACACCTCACCATTGGATTCGTCTGTCCACGACACCATTGCTCGGAAACTGTGCGTCTAACGTCTGCACGTCAGTCCTCAGTGCAACCAACCCTTCCGTCTACGCGTTGTCCGGTCGTTATCCTGTTCGTTTATTGTGGCATCCCAGTTAATGTGTGCTCTGCAAGGTCGCATTATTCATCCGAAATGGATGAGACTTTAACCATAAAAATCCTTGGTTACTTTCCACCTGTTACTTTGGAAGTGGTGAAAGGCGATGCTAAGGCTGCATTCTCGTTACAGCTTTCCTAGTGTGGAGAGGGCAATGAAGCACAGTGAGCCCTTGTGATTCACAGCGAGGCGCACCTGGATCGTTCAGAATAATTCTTGCGATTAGTGTTGCATTCCCTCTCTCTCTCTCTCTACCTGTGTGTGTGTGTGCATGCGTTCACATGACACACAGCTGTGTGTGTGTACGTGGCATTCGCAGCTCATTCGTCCCGAGAAAAACCTGCCTTCACTTCCATTTCGAAGGCGGCGGTCTGTTGTTACACCTGCAGCCGCCGTTTCCCGGATGCCGCAGAACTAACACCGTTTCTGAGGTGACATTCTCGCCGCCACTCTCGAGTACGCTGACGCGGCGTGTTGCCATATGTGGACATTGTTTGACGTAGAAACGGACTCACGCAGTCGCGCCAAGACCGTCATATTTCGACTCACCAGGCGGCGCTTGTGCTCTTCATGTCGGTGCGTTCACCCGTCTAACGAAGGTCTAGTCACTTCACACTAGCTGGTGTTAGATCTGATTGTGCAAGTCTTTGTAGTTGCGTAATTACAACTTCACCTTCTCGCACATCGAAGTGACCGGCTGGACTGCTTGTCTCTCCTCCTGCTCCATCACCACCACCACCACCTCCTCCTCCAAGTAACATCCAAACTTCGCGTCGTAAGCGCCTTTTTCTAGTGCCCCACCACCTGTCCACTCGGCTCTCGTGTAACGATTTCGTGGTGGTGGTGGTGTTTATGTTGTGTGTGTGTGTGTGCGCGCGCATGCACTCGTTTGCAGATGTACTTTAGCCCTCCCTCCACTGTCCTTTAATCGGGCTGGTAATAATTATAATCCATCTGAGTTTGCCGCACACCGCGCAGATGAAAAGGCTGCGAACAAACCCACACACACACACGAGTTAGCACTTTTCGGCGTATCTGCAGGTGGTGTGTTCACCAAACTCGCCAGTATTTGCTGCGTTGGCGTTGCCCTTTTAGTCAAAGGTGTGCGCGTGTGTGTGCCGTAGAATGTGATCTGGAAGCTAGAGTCGACTGCGCTTGTGTATTGTCCTACGCAATTTGGGCTTGTCGAAACGTCGCACTGGTCCCCTTACCACTCCACACCCGCCGCACTGAGGTTATAGGACCGACTTGACAATCGCCACCTTGAACCGCCATTTCTTTTCCGCATCGTCTGCCCAAACGTGTCGATTTTCTACCCCAAAACACGTTCCAGGTCATCGCCTCCCGATTATAGAGGTTGCCTTGGATTAACTTGCGTCATCCGTCCCTACCAGTCATCATCTGACGTGCAGATTTGACAGTTTCTACTCCACAGTTCACCCATTTGTGCTGGTCTTGTTCCCGACTACCTGAGAGTGAAGATTTCGTCGTAACTTCAGCAGCGTTGGTTGGTTGGTTGAGGTTTCACCTTTGGTTCACGCTCCTGTCACCTCCTCACACCTCTTAATCGTTGTTGTTGTTGTTGTTTTTTGCAAGGCTTTTCGATAATTACACACCCGGATTTTTCACGTTGTTAAGTTGCCGGATTGCGATTTAAATCGCCAATCGCGTCACGCAGTCAAACCACGGGCGCGACAAGCTCTCTCCGGTCAACTCGCGTCAGTCACGTATTATCATAATCGGCTGTCTGCGTGTTCGCCATCACCTACTTCCATCAACCACTAATTCCATGACCTGCGATTTCGCGAGGCGCTTGTCGTCGACACTGCCTCCCAGCTGATCCATCCTTGTCGCGTAGTCTTTAATTCATACTGCAAGACAATTTGACCTTTATGCTGCACTGTGTCTCGTTGTTGACGGCCTCCAGTAGTGGTGCAGACGGCGTGTCTTGCGCGCGCAATTCGCATAAATTACTCCCTCAAGCTCCCTTAGCCAGATTTAGTAACAGACGTCTTACACGAGGTATCCTCTCTCTCTCCCCCTCTCTTGGGGAGTTGTGCGACACCCATTCCACACCTGGCAAAACGGCAACCAATGGTATCTCTCGGTGGCTCGTTCTGAGCACAAGCACCTCATGGCGTTGTGGTGCTTTGTTTTTGTTTGGCTGGGTGGCGTTTGAGATTGCAGGCATATCCAGGCTTAGCCGTGGCCTCCTGTTTACAAGCCTCGCTGGGCCTGACATTGAAGCCAGTGACACTAAAATCCACGCATTGCAGATGTCCTGCGTTGTTCTCGTGTCCAATAGCTGTTTCTGGACCCTGGTGTAAGCGTGTGTGTGTGCGTGCGTGCGCATTATATCGCAGTTTCGAATTGCACGACAACGCAGCCCTCGTTCTCTCTCTTTCTCCTTTTTTTTCGAGTGTACCAACTGTGAGGTCACGCGACAACTGTTTGCTGTAGGTAATTTAGCCAACTTCTGAAGACCAAACGCCGTTGAGCTCGGGTGTTGAAGTTGACGTTCCCCAGGTGGATTGGGGGCGTGCCTGGGCACGATTGTACTGATCCCTGTTTCCCCTTTTTTTGTTTAACCAACCAACACAGGTGCTGGACAGCAAACAAGGACCCGGCCCGAAGCACATGAAGGAGATAACGAAGCGTGCGAGACGTCGCGAGGCGCGACAGCAGCAGGCCGCGAAAGCCTCCACCACCAACCGACCCTCCACGAGTGCTTCCTCGACGCTGACGAACAACGGTGCCGCGGGGGCGTCTCGCGGCGTCCACGCGGGCCACCACAACCACCACCCCGTGCACCACTCGGCCACGTGCGTCGCGTGCTGGGCCGACCAAAACAACAGCAACTCCACGCCCGTGGCTGGCGCCAGTGTCGCCAGGACCCGGTCTGCGGTCGCGCGAAAGCTCGACACGACTGGAAGCGGTAGGTTGCGCATCGTGGCTTTTGTGGTCGTCGTTGTTGTGTTGTTTTCCAGGCACAGGCATCGATCGTGGCTCCACGGCTCGTGCCCTCGAAAAAAATTGGCTTCAATTAAGTGCAATCTAAGGTCAGCGTAATTTCACCCTTCAAATAGCCGAGTGAACTTCGAAATTAACGGTCATATGACGGTGCAGGGTCACGGATCTAGGGCGGATCAGGCCTCAGCTAATTCAACTCGAGTCACCAGATGTGGGTGTGTGTGGGGGTTAACAGTTCTTCGTCGAGGTTTTGAGGCGCACGGCAACTTCTCAAAGCGTCATCTGCCTTCAGTGCGTTTGAGCAGTTTCCGGTGTTTTTAGTGTCGATTCGGCGCGCCTGCCACACGAGCGGTTCCCCCCCCATCGACGATACGGCGATGCGTCTGTCAAAAATCGGCGGATTTTGTGATTGTGTTGTCGCGAATTCAAGTGGGTGATCCAGTTAAAGGCCACTTCGCCATCTGCCACCGCCAAATGACGATCCGAATCGGCCTCGGCGTCGATCGTCCACGTGCTCGCCTCGAAATGTGGCAGCCCAGACCCGTGTGATGTGCTGCAGGCGGTTGGAAACCACGGTTTCTGCGCGTTTAAGCAACCTGCTCGCGATCATTGTGTACTTTCTTGTGCACATTTACGCACACACACACACACACGTGCAGCGGGTAGCTGCGTGTTTTGTTGACGCAAAATCGTAATCATCACTCCCACGCTCCCCACGCCTGTGTTGTGCCAGCGCTCGACAGCCTCTCAATTTCGTCATCACCATCGTCATCATCATTCTCTCACCGTAAACAGGCAGCTATCCGTAGGTGCGCTCACTCCCCTACCCCACAGGCATCGCTACCCCGACCAATCACGGTTAGCCAGTTTCCGAGCTGGACCGGTTGTGTGGGGCGGGGGGGGGCGCGATTCTATTGGTCCACGCGCTCCAGCTGTGAATCAGCTGATCGCGCGAGCAAAGAAGGGGTGGTACTCCACGTATAGAGGGTATTGGTAGCATCTAGATTGGTGATTGTGCTGACTTTGCCGTCGTGCTCTTCACTCTGGATCGATATGCAGGTGTTAGTGCTACTTAAATTGAATCAGTAGGGTGAATTTAACCAACTATTACAGGGTTTTTAATGTGCACGTTCAGTGCAAAACAAATGTGCTGCCACATTGCAGACTTGACTTCATTGCTGTTGACTGACCAGCTGGTGGTTTCTAGCGAATTACGCCGACGCAAGCTTTAACTTTCACCTCTGACCAATCAGGTGCTCGTTAGGAGTGCTTTTGTCGGCACAATCAGGCATTTCGGAGACAGCCAATCGTCATTTAGATCGGCCCGTTCTTCGGATAGGATGCTGACTGATGCATCGATCTGATTGGTTTCTGCCGACCCGCATTTTCATTGGTCCGCATTCTTAAAAGCGCGTAGGCTCAACGACACACCTTGTCCAGTGAGTGAACAATGGAGTATGTCCGATTAGGCGTGTATGTGGTTGCCAAGGCAACTTTTATTGGAAGCACCCATGTCGTGCGAAGACAGCATGAGCTGATCCAATGCTTTGACTCTAAGACTAGAGGTAATTGCTTTCACCCTCACCGCACAAATGCGACTTTGATTCTACTTGGGTCAGAGAACAGGTTTGATTCAAGCTGATTGGTTGCCGTCACTCGGCCTTGTTTGTCATTGGTTGTGAGTTTCGTCCAATCATTTGTCAGTGCTCTTCCCTCTCGTCCATTGTAGCGAGTTTTGGCGAGACGAGCAGCAGGAGCGGTCTATGGACGCCGACGGAGAGCAGCGGTCAGGTGAGCCTTTGGGAGGGCTACTCACCGCACAACCAGGAGTTCCGTCCACCGCGGCCGCCGAGCGTGTTGCCAGGCAACGGCTCCATCCTGTCAAGCGGCGGTGGCAGTCAAGGCGTCGTGACCCGCGCCGCCGCCTCGGCCTCCGTCTACAGCTCGCTGGCCGCCTCCGGCGTCGCCTTCTTCGACGGCGCCTCCTCCACAGCCTCGTCCACCACCTCCACGCCGTCGACGCCAACACGGCGCCAGAACCGACGCACCCGCCTCCCGCCTGTCAAGATTTCGTCCGACTGTGTCGAGGTGCACGATATTCTGCAAAAAATTCAAAAGTAAGGCAATTAGGCTCACCGTCGCTTAGCAACGTCAGTTTCTCGCTGTTGGTTTGTGGGTTAAGTCGGACTACTCACAAATAAATAGTAGTGGCCGATCTTGAATACACCTCGTCTGAACGCGGACGAATTGTCTTGGGGAGTGTTGACAGTCGCGGCAGTTTTAACGAAACGCTAGCTTTTATGTATGTCACCTAACAAGGTGCTTTGCACCGTTGTTGGTTTGAGGGTCTAGTCGAACTACTCACAAATAAATAGTAGTAACTGATATTGGGTGTACAGGCTAGGAACGTGCTACGCAGGTTAATTCTACAGCTTGGTTGCCTCCTCTGCCTGTGCCTAGGGCTAACCAGGCCATGAACCTGGACAATCGTCAGATTAACATGGCGATGCAGCGGGAGATACGTCTGCGCAACCGCACCGTCAATCCCCCGGTGGTAGCGGCCGCGGCGGCGTCGTCATCTGCTTCCAGCGGCGTCGGCGTAGACAGACTCCTGTCGGGTGGTGGCAGCGGCGGCGGCGGTGGGTCTGCAGACACTTCCCTCGTGACCGGATCGTCTGCTGCCGCTAACGCGGCGGATCTTCGCATTTGAGAGCACAACCGCACATCTAGCCTTTGTGTACATACCCCGGCCCGCCCCGGCCCCGCCCGCGTCCCTCCGTCCGTCCGTCCGAATCTCACTCTTTGTCTTTCTACGTTGTCGCACGCAGCACGCACGCACGCACCTCCTCCCCCCTCGCCCTTCGCTCCTGTAAATAGCCAGACAGCCTAGTTTATTGTCCTTGGATTCTTTCATTTTACCCCCGCCCCCCCCTGTTCCCCCGTGGCACTCACTTTAATTTATTCCCACCGCCACCACCACCACCGACAGGCAACTCGTGGGCCCTTTTCCGCTGCTGGTGGTGGTAGTGGTGATTCTGTCTCGTTGTTGTAAGCCCCGCCAGCAACTCCTGTGAATATGAAATGGCAGCAGGAACGGTGCGATGTGCTTTGTCGAGCTGTTTCTACTCCCACCCACAGCCCCGCACCCCTTGCATCCACACATAAAATCTGCGACTAGAAGGTCTCCGTCTTGTTGTCTTGTGTCAAGAATACGGAACGCCTTGTTTGGCGCGTCGACGCATCGAGCGCAAGATGCGGCCAAGGTGGAAGTCGAATTGACGCCTGGGCAGTCGGAGATCGAGGAGTTGGTGGCGTGCCAGTTGGGTTATGCGTGAACAGAGCCGAGTAAATAGACGTCAAAAATCACGGTGTTGATTTACTTGTTCTGGGGAACGTTGCCGTGTCCATCGTTGGCGTAGCCAGCAAAAACGGTCCATGGAGTCGTCTCACTGCCTCAATTTCAGGAGATCGTCGGTTTTTTGACAAACAACAGCCTCGTTGAATGGTTTCAGCTTCAGATTGATCGTTCCACCATCGCATGTCAGTGCAGCGACTTTAAACGACATCTGTTGAGGGTCCTGAATGAGCAGGAACTGGCTTTTCTAGCAATCAAGTCAGCCTCGATTTGACGCAAGTTTGACGCGTGGTCGGTTAGCGTTGAGGGGCGTTTTAATTGGCTAGACATGGCCATAACCAGGCGGACATTCTGTCGGCGGTCGTAAGTCCAGCTGCTACACTCAACTGGCGATTCGTACAGATTGGCTGGCTGTTCCCTATTGTTGCACTGTCGGTCGCAGATTCCGGGTTTAACACTCAACCTAATGAGATAAGACGTTAATTTGATCTTGAAATTGGGTGACCGGTTCATTCAAGAAATATTTTAGCCATTTAAGGATCATAGAATAACTTGAGAATTTCGTTCAAGTGTAGAATAAGCTGTTTAATCCACACACCACCTTTCGTTCAACAATGTCAACACTGGACATGTCATTGATATATTGATTTCGCAATGAGTGAATAAACAGGGATTTTCGAATTTCAAAAAAAACGGCATAACCAGTTGTGAATCGTGTTTATTCACAGCCCCTTAATCCGGTCGCTCCACCTCCGACACAGGGTTCCCCCTTTTCACGGCATGTCGCCAGCCTCGTGGGGCCTCAACTCCCCCCTCATTCACACGGATATTTATCTTGGATTATCCTCACACCTAGATTTGGATGTTAGCGCATGTATGACTCACACATTCGAGGTATAAATACACACGCCACAACGACACCAACGTGGTTGAGCTCTGAAGTAAACGGTTGTGTCCACGTCCTCTCCGGTCTTTTTCTTCATCGCGGGTATCAGGGAAACGTAATCGGGCCAGGGTTAATTCCGTGGCCCCGGCGTGGTTCAAGACCACATGCAGGGGCCCACAACAAACCTCCGTTTATTTCAGCACACATTTGGAGATTAGAAGAGTGCGTTAGCAGGTGGTCCTCTACTCCAAAAAATCTTCCTAGGAGTAAAAAAATCCCATCGCACACAGACATCCCTAGCGTCAACACGGTGATCTGCGGCCTCTGCCCACTCCGTTCAGTTCACTCGATTACAACTCGGCTGTCACGTCACGTCCTTGTCCACATCCACAACGCATTACTCAGAGTGCTGATTACGCAGTTCATCGATATCCGTCCACCCATGGACTCCATCTTATACCCGATCCTTTGCTCCGCACGGTAAAATCCTCCCCCCAACCTATGGTCTTCCCTAATCATGTCAAACACTCGACGTGCCAGCCATAATCATCCAACTATCGCTTCGTGGATTCGTACCAACATATCGTGAAAAAAAATGTAACACATCTCCAGTTTGCGGTTTTTTTCCGTACTTAACCATCAGCTTTTTCTACAATTTACCACCGCACTCCGGTGAGTCATTCAGACTGCCGATGAGTCGTCCGGCAGCCGTGGGTGTCAAACTTGTGGCCAGTATTTTCGACTCTAAAGTTAACCAATAACGTTGCCTCTAGAGATTGCTTGTTTGTATCAACGACTTTCTCTCGCTTAGACGGTAGTCTTATCTACGGCGGATTGCTTAAATGTCACAATACGCGCCTTTTGGGGTTCTGTTAAAATTTGCCAAACTCAACTACTCACTGAATTCTTGATTAAATGTTTTTTTTTGTCAAACCGCAAATTCCCAACTGGGTGGATACCATTTCAACTTGAAAAATTACCATCAAAATATAATTGCGAAGCAAGACCTCCCCTAGTCTGGTGTGTTGTTGCGAGCTAAGACCGTCTCATGAGGCCGAGACAAATGCTCTCATTGGCCCAATTGTTCCCATTAATCCTCACAGCCCATGGTCGGCGAATGGTGCGCGACAGTTGGTACGTTAAAACGCCTGCCTACTATTTGTCCATTCTGTATTGATCGTCTGATTGGCTCGTATGTGGTTTTAATCGTGGTCAAGCGACACCCAAACTATGAAGTATGTGGTCAACCAATCACAAAGCTGTGGTTAGGATGGACGAAGTGGATTGGATGAACGGATGCGTAGGCAAAGGTGATAGGTGTGAATCAACACAACTGACTACAGCAGCTTTGAAATGCAATTGGTCAAGGCGAGTCTGATCCCAAGTCTATTGGACAATGTTAATCGCTGTTGGTGTTGAGGCAGCACAATTGCGAAGCGCTAGTGTCATCGCGATACGTCGCATCTACATGCCTAATTAAAAATGCTGGCGTATATACGCAGATATTCGCGCAAGTTAGCCTGTGAATAGTTTGGAACGAACCAGAACAATATTTACAATTTTAGGACTAAAATTTTGCAAACTGTGCTAGAAATTACCCTAGTCTACTACAAAATTTAAAAATGTATTTACAGTGGCGATGGAATATTGCTGGATTCGTGTTGTGCTGTCAATTATAACTAAAATTCGCTCGTTGAGTATTCCAGACAAGGTTATCTTGGCGTCGCCCGTAAACGCCCACGAAAAATGGCCATTTTTGTGGGAAAGAGACTAAGAATTATGGATTCGTACACGAAACAATTTCAGTGTTCTAAGAGTCAATAGTTAACAGTGGACTGCGCCTTCGTCGGTTGCGTATAGGCAGACTATCGATTTTTTTTCACAAGTCACCGGATTGGCCACGTCAACTACGCATTTAAACAAAACACGTTCAAACGAAACTGTGGCGTGTTTGAGAAAGCCAGTCACGTGGTATTTCAGTTACTGCTCTGACACAATCTGATTTGCTTTACATCAGAATTTCCACAATGCATAATCGTTTTTCTGCGCAAAATCACTTAATCTGGTCTAACTGGTGGCTCAAGTAAGCATATTACAATGTGCAATTTCTGTTGCGTGTCAAAATTTTGCACGATTTTACATGATTTTAACAAGAAATGCAACCAATCACAGCCCTGCACAAGTAGCCAGGACTTGGTGTGAATTTGCGCGCTCTGAAAAAAAAAACTTGAACGAATTTCGTCATGTTGTAGTCGTTTTCGAACTTGGTACCGTTCGAGAGGCATTTTTTGAAGAACCTGATTATTGTTATAACTGAAATTTACTATCTAAGAAAAAATTAATTACTAATTAAAATTGGCTTGCGATTTCGTCCTGATTGATAGACTGGCGGGTTGATTTGGAAGTCGTAAAACGACAAGTGTAGGATGATGAATGCATTCACGATAATTTCTGACAGGACATTAAGGAGACACTCAGGCAGGCGGTCAGTCATTTTTAGAAATTGCTTTGGAAGGAAGGGGTTGGTGAAAGTTGGACTGGAAAACGATTAATTAATACCTCAGATGCAATTCATCCAATCACCTCCCTTTATCGATTGATGATGATTTTTGTTAAAATGGACTTTTATACGCTGAAAACACTTTTTAATGCACTTTAAGGGTGGTGTGTATTTTATCGGTATCTAACACTTGTAGTCGAGTCTCTGTACGCAGGGAATGTGCGTCCCACAGTGATGAAGCCAGGCAAAGTTCGAAAATTGATACTTTAACGTCGAACTCAAGCAACCAATGAGAGTAAAATTAATAAGTCGGTTAATCATTGATCGATGCTCTGACATTTAGCTGGGAAAATGGTTGAACTTGACTACCTGTTAAATTTCCGTGTGCAATTAGTAAGGTGATTCGGCCAATGTGCTACTCACCCGAGCTGAAAAAATCCGATATCAGAAATCAACAATCGATACTTTAGCGATGAACTACAAGCAACTCGCACTAATGATGCGAGCGAGCTGCGGTCAAATGCCTTTTCTTTCACCTACCAATTGTACCCTCTTCTTAGAGAATTTCCTTTAGTCTTCGTGCTGTTTGGGCAACCAATCGAATTGCAGGATTCTCTAATAGCACCCGACCTTGAGAAGAACAGAAAAAGTTTTTTGAAAGCAGGCAGAAGAATCGTAACTACTTAGTGGGTGGACCGACACCAACGATGGTGTGTGTGAACTTCATATAACGCTTTCCACACCGCGGTCATTAAAGCGAACTCGCAAGTCCACACTTCAGTCGGTAAGGCCTCACTAGGTGGCTGCAGCGTGGTGGCGTTGAATTGAGCGTTCCTAGGTAACACGCTGATGAAGGTCACACCAGGTGGAAAGTGGCGCAGCTTGCGCCCTTCCAAACGGAAATCGCGTTATGGATTGTGCTAGGTGCCAATTCCCCATGTTCAACACGTGGAATGGGACAAATCGCGATTCGCACGAGAGCGTTGAATGAATGTCCACTTTTGTTCAGGTGCACGTTGAATGAGTGGGCTTGATTTGGCTGAAGGAGATAGTACTTATGGGGATTTTAGTAAACAACCAGGAAGTTCTTGTGCAGGCGTGAAATTGAATGAATTAGCTTTCAAAAAGTATTTACAAGCAGGTTGATGTTTCGGCGGGTCTTGGGTGGGGTTTGAACCTGGGTCCCGTCGCGACAATCACGACTGTTCCATCAAGGCGCTCTGGACTGTACAAGGTTAATCCAGCTCGACTTCGACGCCTTATCGAATGCAAACCATCCGCTTCGCTTCCGTAATGCGAAAAGATTTGGCGGTGCAAACATTGACAGTTTATTGTCATGGGAATTGATACTTTAAAACCTCCCAAATACGGCATCAGAGAAGTTGTTTTTGTGGGCGATGAACTGACCCTTCTGACGTTGTAATATGACAAGGAAGGCAAATTACTTCTTCATAAATGACTCCGGTAGACGCGTTAAAGTTTGGTGA